ATTAAATAAAAGAAAAAAATATATAATTATTGATTAAAGCTCAAAGAATTCAGCAAAATAATTTATTTTGAATTATCTCAAAAACTGAAATTAAATTTCAATTTAATAATTTTCTAGCTAGTTTTGTTATAGTAATTAAGTTTTAGCATTAATCCCTTTATCACCAAAATATTATTATATTAGATTTTAATTCTTATTTTAAAGATAATTCCGAAAAAATTATATAATTGAATTCCTTGAATTCTAATTAATAATTTTATCTTTTCTTTTTTCATTTCATTAATTCCTAAAAGATTAAATACTAGATTCGAAATTTGTTAGTCTATAAATTTAGCAATAATATAACAAAATAATGATATTTCGTTTTATCACATACTAGTTGAGATATCAATATATAAAATAATAACATTCGGGGTTTTTACTGATTAATCAATGAACCAAAAATGAAACCTTTTCGAATTGAACATAAAGAGATTTACATCAATTAGTTATTCTTTACCAAACAGACCAGCTCGAATGTCAAATTGAAGTCCTAAAGCTTTTCAAAGATTAAAAAATAATCAAAATACTACTGATTGATTCAAAAGTTCAGTGCGTACAGTGAGAGAGATGAGGGGTCTTATTGATATCGTAGATTTGAAGGTTTATCAAAGATTTATGAGAAATTTATCAGAGATTCAATAGATCGATCAATAGATTTCTTAATAGATCTATGATCTTTTACAACTTTGGGCTTAATAACGATTACGGTGCTTCTATTCGAGCCCCAGATAAGAAGTAAGTATCACACAAAATATTATATCATTATTGAATCTATCATTAGATTTATTAGATTTATTAGATTTATTAGATTTATTAGATTTATTAGATTTATTAGATTTGTTAATTTCGGAAGGATTCAAACTAAATATTTCTTCAAATTCTCTTTTCGAAGTAATAACAAAAAGTAAACAAAATATTTAAATGATTTCATTATTATATGAATTATTAGTGGGCCTATCATTATTATAATAATAATCCCACATGGTAATATCTCAACTAGTATATGACAAAGCAAACTAGCAACATTTTGCTGTATTGTTGTCAAATTTATATATTGACAAATTCTGTATTTAATATGTAATCTTATAAAAATCGAGAATAAAAGAAAAGAAGAGATAACATGATTCATATACAAGTGGATCATATCATCAAGTGGATCACTTTCATCTTAATTGATATATTCAAATTTATATTATTTAATAATCATTGATTCAATTAATTAAAGCTATTAAGAATCTAGTAATTTAAGATCTATTTTATTAATCTAATTAATTCTTATATTATAATCTATTTCTTCATAATTATTATAATATTAATTAGAGAATATCTTTTTATTAGAATTCTCTTTATTTTGATATTTATTATATCGAATTTGAATATCGATTTTTTATTGAAATAATATATCTATAGTCTTTTATTTAGTAAATACTTTTTCTTAATGTATTTATATCTTTTTTGTATATCGATATTAACTTAATATTTTATTAGCTTTTCGAAATATATAGTTTTCTATATTCAAAAATGTATTCTTATATACTAATCTTTTTATATTCTTAATTAGAATTAATATAATATTAAATATAAGTATAAAGAAACTTGATTAATAATATATTATTTGAGATTCAATTAATATTAATTAAAAAAGAGTTTTTATAGGATTATAAGGTATTTGAGAAATCTAAAGATCTAAATTAAAAAGAAGGAGAATAAATATATAAATTTGAATATCCAATTTAGAAAGTATTATTTCAGGATTAAATAGAATTAATTTAGTTTTTTTAAATTCAGCTTTTATATTCTGATTTATAATTAATTTTTTATATATAACTTTAAAAGCTATAAAGAATTTGATTTTTGAGATATAATTGATATAAGCTTTTATAAAACTTTCAATTTGAGTATTATACTCTTATTTTAAGATACTAAAATAGCTTATATCAAAAAGCTAAATTAAATAATTTAAATATATTAATAAATATATATATTTAATATTATTCTTTTTATAATAAATCTGGAATAGTATTAATTTACAGTTTTTATATTTATTTATTATTAATATTCTATATCAATCTTTAATTCGATTTCTTATATATTTATTGAAGTATTTTAATTATTCTAAGCCTACTTTATTATTTGTTCACCTATTACTTATAGATTTAATAATCCAATTTATAAAAAAATTAGTTTCTATATATCAATTTGAAAGATATATTTGTTTTTATATCACTAGAAATAAAGATATGATTTCTTTTGTATTATTTCTATATATAATTATTATTATTCATTCTCAATTATCTAATTATATAGCTTTATTTCTATTAAATCTTTTAAAGCTAATAATAATTATACTAATATTTATAATCCTTATTATAAAGCTTATTTTATTGAAATTCTATAAATTGTAATCAAAAATACCAAATTTGTTTTGTATATTCGAAAAAAGCTAGAATCAATCTATAATAAGCTTAGAATCCTTATAAAAAGCTTATTGAAAGTTATAAATACAATTAAATATATTCTTAGTTTTTTATTATATTTTATAAATCAATATATCTTTTATTTTCCAATTCTTTTCTTTTCTTTGAAATCAAGAATATAATTAGTTATATCTTTTATCTCCTTATATTTAAGTACAAAACCTTTCAAATCTATATCGATTATATATTAAATAATAATATCCTCTTCTAATTTCGAAAAATAATTATTATTAGATAGAAATTTAGTACAAGGAATAAATCTATTTATTCTATTATAGCCTATACATTAGTGATTCTATAGCCTGTTACTAATCCGTCGTAACAATTTTATCTTTGATTTCTTCAAGATGATAATAAATCTACTTTTGTTTTCTTCGATATATTATATACTTGATTTATTATATTAGGAAAATAAATTTCTATGAAGAATACCTCAAAATTTTATATAATTATCAATTATATAGATATTCAAAATATAAGTTTTCATTGTGAATAAACAACCTAATAGAATTTAATAATAAAAAACTAAAGTATACAAGGGTTATTTATAAATCAGAATATGAAATCAGGATTTCAAGGAATAGGATTAGTTTTATTTAATCCTAAAATAATACTTTCTAAATTAGATATTCAAATTTATATATTTATTTCTCCTTTTCCCAATTCAGATTCTTGAATCTCTTAAATACCTTATAATCCTACAAAAACGCTTTTTCAATTAATACTAATTAAATCTCGAATAACTTATTATGAATCAAACTCTTCTATAACGTAGTTTATCATCAAGTGGGCTATATCATTAAATGGGCTACTTTTATCTTAATTAACACCTTCAATTTTATATTATTTAATAATTATTAAATCAATTAATTAAAATTATTAAAAGTCTAATAATTTAGAATTTATTATATTATTTTAATAAATTCTTAAATTATAACCTGATTTTCCATATATACTATAATTTAATTTTTTTCTCTAAATATTACAATTATCTATATAAATAGTATAAATTTCTAATTAATTATTATAAAAATAGTGTTTTTCTGATGAAAATCGTGACCATTTCGATTGTTTTTAGAATATAATCAAAATATTTATAATTTTTAATTATCTAAATTTTTCTTATCTTTCAATTTTATTTCTTTTTCAAAAAATATTGATTAATTATTGAAATATAAATATTAAGAAAAGATTAGTTTTAGTATGATTTTAAAGTAATCTATTTAGTGTTAAAATCCACTCGTATATGAATCACGTTATACTATTATTAAATTTACAACCTAAAAACTCTATATTTAATATATAATCTTATAGGGATTAATAAAACAAGAAAATTAATAATATAACTATTAATTCGGATTTAAGAAATCGATTCATATAATTCCTATTAAATGATCTTAAAAATTAAAATTAATAGTTAATATAATATAGTTTCGATTAAAAGAAACAAATACTGAAATCAGATTACTCTAATTAATTAATTAAATTCTCAATATAATCAATTTCTTCTACAATTTTGAGATAATAAAGTAAAATTCATATAAATAGATTCCTAAAGTTCTAACTAATAAGAAAGTCTCTTTTCTTTTTATTCTATCAATTCTTTAAAGGTAGTATATGAAATATAGAAGTTATTAGTTTATAAATCTAACAATTATATCATAGAATATTATTAATTTGTTTTGTTATACACTAGTTAAGGTATTTATATATGATATATTACTCTATAGGGTTACTATCTTTAATTTTATTATATATTTAATTTTCTTCTAATAAATAAAACTAAAATAATTCTTAATGATCTTTTATACTATAATAATATAATTAAAGTTTCAATTTAATATAATCACTATGAGTATTCTTATTTTCATGATAACAAATAAAGCAATTTTTTTTTAATTAGTTTTTAGAATCGATGAATAGCTATATACGATTAATATATACACTCCACCGGGCATGCGTAAAGATTAACTAGATTAAAGAAAATATTAATGTTATCTCATGTTACTATATGAACGTGGTTGAATGACTTCAATTCAATCGCTACTGTATTGAGCTTTAGGCGAATGCGAAAGAGACCAGCTCTTTCAGTAGTGCCTATATAAGGCCTACTACTTTCTGTACATAGCTAGCTCTTTAGACAGAATACAATATAGATAATTAGAACCTACAATTCGTAGGTACTATGTTTTTCGTATCCTTCTCAAACTAATAGTTACTTAAAGCTTTGGTAAAGATAATCGAGACGAATACTATCATGTATAAGTTTCATTGTTTTGGGAATATTTCCAGGTAGGTAGTGATCAAACAACAAAGGACATTCGACATTTCCGGATTTTGTACACCAAAGTTCTTTGATAACAGGCGCATCGCTCATTCAATGATTGAATAGCCTTTATCCTCAAAGAACGTAGAAATCATCAAACTTGAATATCTATACTTGTCATGGAATAACTCGTATCCTGAATAATTATCAACATCATGGCTCCACCATTTGCAATCGAGAGCAAGGCCGTTAATTATTTACGCGCCATTCCCACGATCAACCTTCGAAAAAACCCCCACAATCCAAACCTTGCCTTGCAGCTTGAGGATATCCAAATTGATTTCCACCTGCGCAGCTATGGTAGAACTACTCAGTTTGGAATCACAGATACGCGGCATCCAAAGGAACCTCAGTTCGACCTCAAGCTGAGTGTCATAACAAATGAGACAGGCGATAGGACTTCTCCCCCATTGTCTCCAGCCAGCGAAGACGCAGCAACTTCACCAAGCGAGATCGCCAGTAAAAGCTACAATGCTAAACGCCAAACCGAAATAAGAGTCTATCTTCGGTTTATTAAGAAAGGCCATGAAACCATCAAACAGCTTGAAGCTTTTCATCAATACCGCAATGAAAGGGGTAAACTCATATTGGCCCAGTTTTACAGGCTTTGTGACGCTGGCACTGTGAAACAATTTCGTGCTGTTTATAACGCCCATCAAGGACGGCCACCCGAAGCATTCTTGTGGAAACTCTATCACGGGGTTATTGATGCTCTGGCTTTCCTTCACAATGATCATCCGAAGTACGAGAACGACCCTTTACACAAAGGGCGTAAGTCGATTATCATGCCGTACTTTGACGCCGGGAATATATATCTTTCCTGGCCCGAGGGCGGGTCGCAAAGTTACGTGTATCCAGACATAAAGTTGGGAGACTTTGAAGCAGCAAATTTTGTTGATTTCGGAGATGGATTTTCAGAGGACATCGTCGACAAAGCCGACATTGATTACAAGCATAATCCCCCGAATTAAATTGGTGGAGTGCCAAAAGCGATATTTGGCGTGCCGGCTCAGTCATATACTCGCTAACTTCGCGGAACAGAACAACCACTAAGCTAGGTGTTCCCAAAGACAAAAGTTTTGCAGATCTGACGGAGGAACAACAGAAACTGATTACAATGGATCCCAGAAGAGTCCGGCCCATCGATCATCTGTACAGTGGTGAATTTGAAGCTATGCTTCAAAGATCCTTAGTGCTTGATCACAAGGAAAGACCATCCGCTAGAGAATTGTTACAAGAACTTCAAGGTCCGGCAACAGAAAGAGGGCTCAATATGAACTTGTTCAGGGCATTGCCTGAATGGATTGGAGACGAAATTATCCCGAGGAAGATAAATGACTTTGCAGAAGAACATGTTTTCTCCCAGAAAAGGCTCAAGGAATTACTTCAACCAGGTGGATTGGAAGCAGAGAAATTATTACAACGGAATAAAATAGCAGCCAAGAAAAAAGAAGTAGCTGAAAAGAGGAAACGAGAGGCGGCACGAAATTTGCTGGGTGACGAAAATCCAACAGCATTTGAGCTATTTTACGAAGAATGGCTACCGAGAGAGATAGAGAATGGGAATATCCTCGATAGGGGAGAAGACTTTGAGTGTCTCGAATACACAGATGAAGTTACCAAATACATAATGGTCAGGCGCAGAGGAATAGAAGCCGGAACTTGGGTTGATCCAGGCCCAACTTGGCAAGAAGTAGAGAAACTTGGAAAAGAACCTGAGGCTGCCCCGGCTGCTCCCCCACCTTGAAAGCTCTCTACATAATGTCGTTGTTATATTGCTTAATATATTCAACTTGGTTGTTCTACTAGTATCAAATTCAAAGGCACTGATGCAAAACTCACCATTCCATGGGTTTCTTGCCAGGACCATGCTGCCTAATCTAGGTGAACAGACTTTGTGTATGCTTAGCCTAAGTTTTCAATAAATTTGTGATTGAAATATATGACTGCAACAATTAGGCAATGAAATGGTTTGGATGTCACTATTTAGATTTATGACCAAGAATTTCCAATATCTTTAGGCCTCCGATAATATTAAATTCGATAATAGTTGACCATTCTTTATTTCGCTCAAAACCTGCATGGGTTTTACTCGCATGAGTGCTACTTATAGATGGAGCTTGGGCATAAGGGCTAACCGAGATGCAAAAAACCGTAGCAAATGGGAAGCCCAATAAGATTGATATCAGCCATTATCCATTAGATCTATGACCAGCTATTCAGTCTGAGGACGATGAAACTCTTTAGGTATACATCAGTACAGAAGATATCAAATCTTTATCCCGTTTTACTTAATTTCACTAGTACGTGTAAAAGTATGATATCAGTCTACATCTGTGGGCACTTATGTAATGTTCTCAGAAAATTTCTTTTCACAATCCAAATCAATAGCGAGTTGGAAAACCGTGACAGATATCCAATCTTTACCCCGAAACTGATCAGTCATCGGAACATGGTTGATTGAGTTGCAAATTCTCTGAAGATTGTCTAGGTAAAGAGAATCAAACACTAGTTGTTCTTTTAAATGGCTGATACTTCTCGAGTTCTCTTATCGTGGTTAGGTAAGTTTAATTCCTTTTTCTACTCAGTGGAAAGTATTGAATGCAAACCGGCGTCTTCTAGTAAACCGCACTACACTCTTTTCGCATGGCAAACGTATGTACCAAGTCTCAGATACTCATACCGCCGATAATAGTGTGAATATATTGTTACTACACAGTTTGAATACATTGAAGACTGGAAACTCGGGATTCTTTCGCATGGCAGAATTAGAGATAACAAGATAACAGATTGTGACTGGTTCAAGAAGTGCTGTCCTTGGTTTATGTGCAAAACTAGATATATAAGAGCGATGGATCGAGTAGCAGTAAGTCTAGGATCCGCTACCTGGAACATTGATTTGCGATAATAAAACTCGTATGGCTGGGCTCAGACGCAGGATCATGATGCACCACCACTTTCGACAACTTTGGAAAGTCATTCCCAATTGCCATACACATCTTTCCCCACCCATCAATTCTTTTTCTCTCTCTACCTTTCGCAACCACGCTGACACTGTCGTCCAAACCAATCGATTTTGCTTCCCATTCGTCTTCATCAGCCTGAAATGCTACTGAGTCATCGTTCCTTTCCATCCAATCTAGAATCCACTCTCTATCCACATCACCGACCATAGCCTCTTCCATCGAAATCCTGTACCCATCATCTGGACAGCTTGCAAATCCACTGGACTGGTAAATGTCACTAAGCACCACATCCAACACCCTTACTCGTCCCCTCGCTTTCTCATAGTCATTCTCCGCCTCGATGACTCCCTCAATTGCCCCCTGGTGTTCTTGCAATAGAGTCAGATCGAAGAAACTCCTCGCAGGCTCCATTGTTCCATTCTTAACCGCACGTGCATATTCGGCATACTCGTCTTCATAGTAATGTTTCCAATTGTCGAGCCGCTGATGCGTTGCTTCTAGGCGATATCCCATGTCCTTCATATGATCCACAGCTTCTCGCTGTTCCCTTTCGACTCGTTCTCGAGCTTCTTCACCGTGGGTGGAAACTCGAGGTGTTTTGTGTAGAGGTACGAGTTGTGTGGTCGGCATGCGATAGAACTGATTTGGTCGTGAACTCTTTCCTTTTATATCCAGAAGATTTCGATTCCTGAAGACGTCCCTGAACATGTTCAATAAGATATTTCTTTGCTCCCTTAGTTCTTCATGTTCGCGTTCCGCAGCTTCCTGTAACTCCAGCCTTTTTTCTTGGATACGCGTGGAAACATTGGAAAGATATTTTGATTCTTCCGATTTCACATCTCGATCACTTTGAACTGTGGTACCTGATGATAAAAGTAGTTGATTGAGTTCTTTCAAAGTCATCTCAACACACTCATATTCATCGTCCAATCGACTTATGATCCTCGTATGATCATTGAATTGTCCCTCGAGGTAGAACATTTCGTTCAAGTTTCTCACAATATCATCTGTCAAAGCTAGAGCAGAATTTGGGACACCATTTCGTCCCATGTAGGTGAATATCACGGGGTACCTTGCAGTTAGAGGTGCTCGCTCCGGTGGTTCTCTCTGATCAATAGTTGATGCCGGCGGCTCATAGGAGCATGTACGGCATTTTCGAAGATTTTGTGGATGCGGAGATGAAAGCGATGTGGCATCGGTTAACACCACGCTGGAAGGCGATAGGGGCGCTCTTCGAAGAGGACTATCCGCATTGGGACTTATTCTACTTGCTCTTATTCTTTTCCAAAATCCGCTTCCGAATGTAGAGATTGAAGAGATCTCTCCTCTGCTCGAGTCCTGATGTGCCGAAGTTGATGCTGTTGCTGTCTGAGTTGGTCCAGGAACAAAAACCGCATTGATTGTTGGCAAAGGCTGGGCTGTGGAATCAGATATCTGCTTTGATCGAGCACCTTTAATGAACACCGAGCTAAGCAATCTCTTGAGAGACTTGCCATCTGTCCAATTATCTATCAATGCTTTCATCGAGAACAATTGAATCACTGGACGTACTCCTCATCGACGGAGCACATGCGAATGTCATATTTTGTGCGAGGTGGATGGATTCAATTACTGGAACAGTGGCCAACGTGGAAGATACATCGTAAGACTCGTATTCAAGATCTATTCGAGAGTTTCAAGGACAAAGAAGCATATTTTTGGACATTCTAAGAAAGTTGATACGAAAACACATTTTTTCGTACGGATACCCGCTTGTTTTGGAACAAAGAAACGTTCACTCGAAACTATAAAAAAAACTCCAAGGAGAACGCTTGCAATGTGAGATATGTCAATCTTTTAACGAGAAAAATCTTGCAAAATCGGGTTTCAACAGTTACCCAACACTTGTATTCCTTACGAACTCAAACCACGTACGTACCTGGAAAAAATTGTCTTTTTGAGATTTCCAATGTGACTGTGACTGTCACTGTTACAAACGCATGCGGACATCATGTCACCCCTCTATGCCTGCGATATCTTCGATGAAATGAATAATCACTGTCCATGTTCTCACAATTAACTGAAAATAATTTTAAGCAAACCTCAGTCATTTGTTTCTGTTGCTCCCATGAGATTCTGATGACTGCAGATAGACCCCATTCAATGATGTTTGGCTTGCCGTTTGCGAACACCACTTTATCATTTCCTAGGGATATGGCATGAAATTGAATCGAATCCAGGTACTGCACAATTCTGTTTACGAATATTGTAAAAGACCACCGATGAACTGTAAAATTAATCATTGGTATGGGGTACGTCTGATATGTATGCAATATTCTCCATCTTCACACGTGGGGAACCAAGGTGGAGTTGCTTGTCAATCTGTCGACTCAACCTCTAGTATTGATATCTAGAAACCACGTACACTACATAGGGTAATGTTATAAAGATTGCCCAAGGTCCAAGTAGATAGAAATAATTTTATTGGAAAACTAGTACACTCTTTCATCCACTTGAACGAATACCAAAAAAACGAAAGCGATCATCTCTCCCCGCTTACTTTCTAGTCCAACTATGACTGACTCACTTCTATGTTTTTATAGATACAGAACCAAAACCCAAAAGACCGTGACTGTAATCAAAGAAGGAAATAAGTATAAATTGGAAGAGCGAATCATTATCACCGGTGTTTCAGCAAACGGAAACTCCGTTTGCCTTTTCCGTCACGTCTTTTAACCTCCCACGGATTGATCACCGAAGATGTAAGAGTATATTATAGAAATTGCGCTAAAGGTGCAACTTTGTTTCATGAGAGATGTTGGGGAGCCGGAAGAATGGGTTTATAGTTGGGAGGTAGTCAAGTTGACTAGTGGAGGAATGTACTTGGGGGATAAGGAATCATTGCGTCGAGTTTGGATCCGCTTGACATCGGCGGTCACAGGAACCCATGCTTATGTGACCCATGCTCCTCCATTCGTAATTCGTGATGTGTATATTTCAATACAAGCAGTCAAGTTGTTGTTGAAAATTTGTTATTTGACGATAGTGGGAATACACTGTCATTCTGAAGAAGACGGGGTTTTGGGTATATGTATATGATTGTTGCGCAAATGCAGAGTCTTCACTACTCATGTATGGTAGCAGAATAACCAGCGATTTTTGATCTACTCTGCAGCAATGACTTCTGCGATCTACCCGATTCAATATATGCCAACAGTAGGTTGTAGGTGGCATAAAGACTGTCGCACATATGGCAGGCAATATCGATTGTCATCTGCAGTATTCAGGTCCGTGATTGACGGCGAGAAAATCTAATCCGCCCGAATTGGGTAGCGAAGTACAGCTTAGCGGGCTGATTTCCAAGTTTCCTGCTGAGCTGTTGGAATCAATTATTTATATGCTGATGATTAACTACTGTCTTCCTCAGCCCACTTCACAACGAAACCAAAAACTGTCCTTCTCAGTTCTTCGTCTCCTCTGTCCTTTTCGAACATTACTTTCTCCATCTTCTCCTCTAAGACCTTCTCAACAGTCATTCCTCCCTCTCGTACCAAGTCAAAGAATGCCATGTCTTTTTCCAATAGCCAAGGTCGATATGGGGTAAAGAACACCAAGGCCGTAGAATCCTTACTCTTTCTCAGGGTCTTCTTAATAGAATCCAACAGCTTCGCGTGCTCGGAATGATTGAAAAGAAGATCCGCGAGTATCAATACGTCGAAACCAGCCTCCTTTTCTTCTAAAGGTAGAAGTGAGAGTAACGGAGAAGGATCAGCGCCCCAGCAATAGCCTTCAGCAACCAGGCTTTCCTTGTCATTTACTCTCAGTTCAGGGAATTGCTCATAGAATACCGAAATGTTCTTTCTGAGATTATCGATGAGGTCCGAATCTGGATAATCCGTAACCACAACATTTCTGGCACGTAGAGAAGCACAAGTAAGACTCGGAAGACCTGCACCTGCACCAAGCTCTAATACTGATTTGGACGTAATTAGAGAAGGACTCTTTTCCAAATAGTTGGATATTATGCGACCCGCATTCCAAAGATGATGACCCCAAAGTGGATTGTGACCGACCAGATGCAGAGTAAGTGTCTGACCGGAAAGTAGCGTATGGGTTTCTGTGGTTGGTTTCGGTGATGGAGGATAATAATCTTCCGGCTCGGCGAATAGATCGGGACCATCTTCGAAATCCGAATCAGCCATGATAGATTATAGAATTGAGTAAGTAATCACGTGTTTGTTATGATGTTTGTGCGAAAATCTTCTTAGACGAAACGAGGTCAATGTGTTAGTTACGAAATGGGACAGTTGAGAGAATGGCGAAAGATAAGAAGTGCTTGAGATGAAAGATTTGTCAGAGGGGTTGTGAAATCCCTACAGTTTGACAATATCCGCTTGAATAAACTCATTCCAACCCAACTTCTCAACCTGTTTCTGAGTGAAACATGATGCTTGAATGAATGAATGAATCAATGAGTGAATGAATGGATGGATGAGATAGAGATGGAGATGGAGATAGAGTTAGGAGACTCGCTCCACAACCCCAATGTGTACTTAGTCAAATTTGCTTACCTTGATATATGAAAGCTTGCTTTTGGGAAGAGGAGAGAACTGTAACTTTGAGTTAAAGTTGTTTCGTTGTCTCTTCGTCTCGTCGTCTCGTTGTTTCTGAATGTTTTCTTTCTCTCCCAATATTCTGGAATTTATGATACCCAGAGAGTATTGCAAAATATATTTTCATATTACCCCACCATCATTATGCAGATTCGGCTAGTAGATTTATGCAAACTTGGGACATTTATTCAAAAGCCAGCCACCCAGCCACCCAGCTACCCAGCCACTTGTTGAGGCAGCCAATAGATACACTTTCTGATAAGATAAGCGAACCCAGAGCCAGGTATTGTCTTTTTGTATTGAGTGACGGAAGAGGATGTGGCTTGCATGAAGAATGAAAATGGTCCCTTGAAGGTTTGAATTAGATCTATCTTTTATGCGGGCACGGGTGATGGCCGAGATGGCTTGCTCTTAGTGTATCAGTCAGTTTACCAATTCCAGTAGTTGATCTACATGACCTTGATGGACAGAATTTCTCAAGTACAGAATGCTACATAGCAGACATCTACGTATTGGGATGAAGTTAAAAATCACATATTTTGACAGTAGATACTTAGGAACTACACTTACATCAATGAAACCAATGACGCTCCGCTGGCCCTCTGGGGGCCACTGCCGTGGAGGCAGACTAGTAGACAGACTATTTGGCCATTTTCACACTGAAAGCTAGATACTTGTTATATAGAAAACATCTTCGAGCGAAGCGAGCTATGGGGGTTTGGGGGCTTGGCCCCAGATACGAAGGGTTATTAGTTGAGTGGATATTGATATGGTAGTAAGCAATCTCGTATTGATGTTGTACGGAGTAGACGTAGATGGCAATGGTAGAATGCTCAATACTCAATACTCAATACTCAACACTCGAGTATTCGAGTATTCACAAGGATTCAACGCACGCACGGCCATCAGATGCCACCAATCAAAACTTGCTCATTGATTTGCAAGGTTCTTCTTCCAAACTTCACTCCCCTTCACTCCTCCACACGCTTCCACTCTTCAATATTGACTCTCACACGCTCACACGCTCACACGCTCACACACTCACTCACACACTCACACACATATATTCACCCCACTACGCACCGCATACCGAGTATACTACACTTATTACACTATACACTACACACTATACTACATACTACCCCGTCAACGCGACATCTACTACCTACCATATTGAGATCTTACGATATCATGAGTAACTCAAGTTCCTTCCATTCAATATTCTTTGGGAAGCTTTATTATTCAAACGGTCCAAGTTTATCCTCTTTCTGTCCTTACGAATAGAACAAACAAACTCGAGAAAAATCATTTAACAATTCCTCAATAAAAACTGGTCAAAAAGAACAAACAAGGCTTCATTGTTACTAACATCTTACCTTGACCTGACCTGACCTGACCTGACTTTACCTGACCTATTCTACCATCAGCTCGGATCGCTTCAAACACTTCTCCTCACTACTTTGGACCAGAAATATTCAATTCACCCTATTATCCTATTATACCCGAAGTACAATAAATCAAGCTCAATTCAGCTTTTCTTCACTGGCTCGATACTACCTACTAGGACCTCGACTTTTTCTCATGATATCGATTCATCACAATTCACTCCATCTTGAAACCTCCCCCCCCCCCGCCTCCGCGAACCATACTTTGGGGACTCAAGATTCTTCGGAAACACGCAGGAGCCATTTCCGTATCAGTCGCACAAGTCAGACGCTGATCCTCTTTCCGATTTCCCCTCTGTGCGGTCGTTGCGCATGCAGATAGTGATTCCCGGAACACAATCAACATCGAGATAAGGTTGTCTGAAAGAATTTATCTACACTTCAAGTCTATCCATTCGGGTCAGCCCACTTAGTCTTGGATCTACTACAAGAGTTATTCAATTGTTATAAAGATGCCGTTAATCAATGGATTGAAGATGGCCTGGTATGTCGAGACCCATTCACCCTTGCTGTGTTCATCAATTTATGTATATGAAGTGGTTCAC